ATACTGCCTAGGTCAAAGATGATAATCTTCCCCATCACTGGTGTCCACACTGATTTGTAGACATGGTGCCCCTTGACACAAGAGTCCGTCTCAAATATTGAATCTGCCATGTTTTAATTAAATAAGGCGTGGTCATTATTATTATTAAAATAAAATCACGAAAATATTTATCACGGAATTTAAAATTTCTCCATAAATTTCATTATTCACGAAATTTTAAGCCTCGAAAATTTTTGGCTATACGGTAATTCATTTAAGTTAGTAATATGTACATGTAAAATAACATTATACATGTACACATTTGGTAGATACTGGCCAAACAGTAATAGGCTAGCTAAACTTACTTCATTTGTTATATCAAAAACTCCATCTTGTATCTTTTTATAAACTTCCTTTGCTGTGTTTATGAACGCCTAAAAATATACACAATGATGAGAGATAGAAGACATCCAGGTAAAAGCATGTACATGTACATGTATATTTTATCTGCTCTCCTGTGAGAAGAATTTTAGTCTTCTTAGCATAATTGATTAATAGACTTTTTGTAATTCATAAAAAGGTCATTAGCCTTATTAATCTATGCATCACTTAATGTAGTGTTAAAAAGAGATACATGTATCTTAGTACACATACATGTACATACACATTTAATCGTGTGTAAAACCATACATTATTATGTACATGTCATGTACATGTATGATGTGAACAAAATACAGTACATGTACGTACATGTAAAAGTTGTTGACGTACCTCTTCAACATTAGCTGCAGTCTTTGCTGACGTTTCCATAAATACAAGCCCGTGCTCTTGAGCAAATGCAAGACCCTAACAAAGAGAGAGAGAGAAATTAAATGAAATTGTATCCCTGTTCTAATCTCTTTCTGTCTCTCTTTCTGAAATTACTCTCTCCCTCTCTCTCTTACTTCTTCAAACTTTACGTCTCTTTTAGCATCAAGATCACTAAAAAATTAATATAACGATTGCAGTTAACACAAATACTGTAAGAAAAATTAACTCTTAGAAATTGGAATAATATTTTAAAAGGGCATAACTCAGAAAGTTTTTAACGGAATCAGCTCATACTTTCTATATAGCATAAGGACATCAATATGTATCAGAAAATGTAATAAGAATTTGGGGTGATTTCGGAGCCATTTTTTGAAAAAACCATGGAATTTCTTGAAAATCGGCTGTTTTCAAAAACAGCAATAACTCGAAAAATTTCAGTCGGAATCATCTCAAACTTTCTACACAACATAAGGACATCAATATGTATCAGAAAATGTAATAAAAATTCAGTGTGATTTTGGAGCCATTTTTTGGAAAAACCATGGGATATAGCCTTGGGTATTTTTCGAATATCGGCAGTTTTTAAAAAACAGCCATAACTCAAAAAATTCCAGTCGGAATCATCTCAAACTTTCTACACAGCACAAGGACATCAATATGTATCAGAAAATGTAATAAAAATTCGGGGTAATTTCGGAGCCATTTTTTGGAAAAACCATGGGCTATAGCCTTGGGTATTTCTTGAAAATCGGCTGTTTTTAAAAAACAGTCATAACTCGAAAAATTTCAGTCGGAATCATCTCAAACTTTCTACACAACATAAGGACATCAATATGTATCAGAAAATGTAATAAAAATTCGGGGTGATTTCGGAGCCATTTTTTGGAAAAACCATGGGCTATAGCCTTGGGTATTTTTTTAAAATCGGCTGTTTTTAAAAAACAGCCATAACTTGAAAAATTTCAGTCAGAATCAGCTCAAACTTTCTACACGGCATAAGGACATCAATAAGTATCAGAAAATGTAATAAAAATTGGGGGTGATTTCGGAGCCATTTTTTGGAAAAAACCATGGGCTATAGCCTTGGGTATTTTTCAAAATTCTGGCATTTTCTTAAAATGGGCGTAACTGGAAAAATTGAAGTCGAATCAGCTCAAACTTTCTACACAACATAAGTACATCAATATGTATCAGAAAATGTAATAAAAATTGGGGGGGGGGTGATTTCGGAGCCAATTTTTGGAAAAAACCATGAGCTATAGCCTTGGGTATTTTTCGAAAATCAGCTGTTTTTAAAAAACGGCCATAACTAGAAAAATTTTAGTCGGAATCAGCTCAAACTTTCTACACGGCATAAGGACATCAATAAGTATCAGAAAATGTAATAAAAATTGGGGGTGATTTCGGAGCCATTTTTTGGAAAAAACCATGGGCTATAGCCTTGGGTATTTTTCAAAATTCTGGCATTTTCTTAAAATGGGCGTAACTGGAAAAATTGAAGTCGAATCAGCTCAAACTTTCTACACAACATAAGTACATCAATATGTATCAGAAAATGTAATAAAAATTGGGGGTGATTTCGGAGCCATTTTTTGGAAAAAACCATGGGCTATAGCCTTGGGTATTTTTCAAAAATTGGCTGTTAAAAAAAGCCATGGCTCAAAAAATTTAAGCTGGAATCAGCCCAAACTTTCTACACAGCATAAGGGCATCAATATGTATTTTAAAATGTAATAAAAATTTGGGGTTATTTCCAAACCATTTTTAGAAAAAAACCATGGTCCAAGATACATGTACATGTATTTGTCATGAATAAAATTATTTACAACAAATCTGAATTCAAGAAAATAATGAATTATACATTTTAGGATCAATTAATATCTATTATGATTGACTTTTTGTTTTATAATAACACAATAGTGAATACTATCAATGAATTAATACACCTTATGAATACTATCAATGAATAATACATGTACACATATACATGTACATGTACATGTACTACAAATGTAAGTGAAAGATAAAGTAAATGAGCACATGATTAATCAGTGACTCAGAGTGTATATACAGTGTAATCAACTGTGATGACTGTAGTAGTAATTTAGTGAGTGGTTGTGTGTGATTGGTTAAGTACATGTACATGTATGTGGGTATACATGTACATGTATATCATTCATAATTGCATGATAGGCTGTTGTATGATATTCATGTGACACAAGGTCAGCATGAGCCCATTATGTACATGAGTCAGCAGATAATGAGAGCATGACACTTCATGTGATGATGTGACACGTACACAATGATGATGATGATTATTATTATTATCATTATTATTAGCATAAGATATACAGTAGCATACACTGTTATGTACTAAAGTCTATGATGACAAACCCAATGAGAAAATAATATGGCACTACTTTTGATATTGATCCTTAAGAGTTAATATCAATATCCAGAACAAACATTGTATTGTATAGCAGAAATTTTAGAGGGAATTAAATTGATAGCCATTCGCCAAAATAAAATCCACAATTTTGAGCCATTATACGCATGCTCAATGGCACGTGGCAACTAATTCGCCAAAATAAAATTTGCTAATCACCAAAATTTAACAATTTGCCAAATTTAACTCCCTCCAAAATTTGCCCCTATACAGTACATGTAACAAAAGTCTATACTTATAACATCAAAGCTTATAAACACTTCTATGCACTAATGAAGAAAAAACTGCTTCTTTTAAAGGTTTTGTTTGGGACTATATTGTAAATAGATATCATATTATACTGTACAGATAAGATATACCAATTGTAATTGATAAGCTAATATAAACTCAGATTACACATAATGATCAAAAAATTAATTATTAATATAAT